TCCTTGTGTTTTGTTTTGCTTCCCTTTAGTTTGAAGCTACTGTCTGTATTTGTATTTATTCCTGTCTTATTTTGGTAGTTACTCGTCTCTAGTGACTTGTGTTTAGTTTGGCTTCTACTGCCTCATTTGTCTTCAATTACTATCACCCGCATCCACTTCTGCTAATTACCCTCATGTGTATGAAAATATAAGCGTTGTCTTCCCATCAGTGTTTGCCTTTGTGTCTGCTAACCTCCCTTGTGTGTTTCTGGTTGTGTGCACTTGTGTGTCATTGGATTTCACCACTTTATTTATGAACTTTGCTTTAGACTTTTTGTACAATAGCCAGAATAAGCAGATTGCTTTTTATTCACCCAGTCTGCCTCCTGTCTGTCCACGCTGTGATGATAAGAAAAAATTACGGGCAAAGTTGGAAATGCAGGTCTTTTACTCGTGTCCCTTTGGCCGGTCCATCTGAGGATTGAAATGAGCAGGGGCTGGTTTGCAATTCATGCTTCTAAATCAGGAATGGAAGATGGTGGAAAAAACAAAATAATCAAATAAAGACTGTAAAACTTTAACATTTTATTAGACTTTTTCCATAATGTCATGTGGCATTAATACACAAACAACATAATGACACTTAAGAGGTTCCAACCCTTCACTTACAGAGCAAATAAAGAACAAAGACAAAAAAAAAATGCATAAAATTGCATGATTCGATTTTGGAATCACTCTTTTGAGACACATACTCCTTAACCTCGTACAGTCTGACATGTTAAACTGGTCTCTTGTGACCACACTGGTCCTACATTCCTCTCTGGACTGTGGAAATCAGGCAGAGGTTATATTTGACTTGATCACTTATGCCAGCAGCACACTGGATGAGTTCTTTGCCACAGAAGCCCAAAGGCAACCAGGAACATGCCATTCCCCAAACCATTCCAGCTGGCTTCTTCACAGACACTCGCACTTGGTTAGGGTTATGGAGTATGATATCACTGGAGACAATTTAACACTGCGATGTCAAAAACCTTCATTTCGACATATTTTAAACTCAAAATGAAGTTGATGTACAGATGTGGTCAGAAGGGTCAATACACTCATAATGGGCATGAATGTCCTTGTATTTGAGCTTTTAAATGTTTATTTGAACAGTTAATTTTCTAAGGTGTAGTGGTTGTATAGCATATGTCTTTATTGACTTAAAAAACAATAATTGGGTGAACAAGTTTGAATTTCCTTTGGATTTTCTCTAATCCACAGGGTCAAAAGTATACATACACCCCACTAGGATCTGGCTAAATGTCTGCAAACTGCACCGTGACCAGACACTTTTGGTAGCCCTCTACCAGTTTCTTATATAATCAGTTTTGATTTGTGTTGGGTCTCATTGTCCCGCTGGAACACCCAACTATGTCCAAGTTTCAACTATCTAGCTGTTAATTTGAGGTGACGTTGATAAATTTTAAGTTAATCCTGCTTGTCATTATTCTCTCCACTTTGTGCGATGTACCTTTACAGCAAAACAGCCCAGAGCGTGATGCCTGAGGCCTGGAGTGTACTGCAGGTTTTAGATCTCACCCTGGGTCAGCACACATGAATCACATGATTAGTTCATTACCAGCCTCTGGAGAACTTCAGGACACATTGAGGAGGTCATTTAGTCATTTAAATCAGCTGTGTTGGATCAAGGACACATCTAAAACATGCAGGACACTGACCCTTGAGGCACCCACCCCTGGTTTACACCTTGGCAGTGGTGACACATGTGAATAACTTGTATTTACATATAGTTGTTTGAAGACACCTTTCCAACTTGTGTAAATGTTCAGTTCTACTTCTTAGATCCTGACAGTCTTGGGCTTTCATTGTTCTGATTGTTAGTCGATCCAATGAGTGCTGTCAAACAAATAATTTTTAAGAGAAACTACTAATGAGAAAGCAATAAACCCTGGCCTTGTCAAGTTAAGCAACACTGAAGCACCTTTAGCAGCACTTATTAAGATTTAAATGAGTGTATGTACATATTTGTATGTATATTTTTTAACACTATGTGGATTAAAGAAAATCCAAAATAAATTCAAATTTGTCCACCCAATTCTTAATTTATAAAGTCACTAAAATATATGCTGTACAATAATTCCACCCTGGAAAATAAAATCATTCGAAAGAGATTATTAAAAGCCCCAAATTATAATGACATTCACATCTGTGATCAGTGGATGTAAAACTCTGACCACAACTGTAGACACAGACAAGGCATTTAAATGTGTAATCCTTCATTTCCAAGAGTTAATGGACAGATTTAAGATTTGAACATAAATTATAAGATAGATTTATACATTTGGGGTGTAGCTAATACATTTCCCCCTCTCATAAATCAATTTTATTTTATTGACTATTAAATGAAGATCAGAAAGCCCAGTGGCTTCTGGTAATCTTACAAAACCCAAAATATCAATTTTACCATGACGTGAAAGAGAGGAAATCACCAATTACTCACTTTCGAGGTTAAATCTATATCGCTGAGACTAAATCTCTTCAATGAGTGCTTAAGGTGTTACTTATTATTTCTCTGTTACTTTAGTGAAGGATTTCAAGATAGAAGACAGCAGTAACAACAACGAGAAGCATTTTAACTCCATAAGACGTCCTTATGGAGTTAAAATCTTGAAAACCAATTTAAAATATATCCAGGAAATGTTTAGAAATCTCAGGCGTATTTCGCTTCGTTCCTGACACCAACTACAAAACCATTCTGAAAGCGAGAACTAAGTATGTGTAAACCAAAATGTCTCATGGAACTACTCTAAATGTTTGGCATGCACAGCGCAAATTTATTTAGAATCATAAAACCCAAAGACACAGAGAGTGAAAACAGAAATAAATGAGCAACAACTGTTAATGGAATTACAAGTGTATTGAAAATATTGTGAATTTATTTCAGATTTTTAATACAGTAGACATTATCAGACTGAAAACAGCTCGACCCCTCTCTCTCCTCATTGGGAAAACGCTGCTTTTGGTGCTCTGGCCAGCCGGCGTTGTTGTAATAGTATATAATGCCATCTGTTTTGGTAAGTGCTCTAATGATGTCCTCACGACAGCACCTTTGTTTTAAGTTTTTATGCCGAGATGCTGTGATGAGTTGAGAGAAGCTGGCACCATCCATCTATCAGGGCCCAAGTTAAAGCTAAAGTGCGAGACCTTTGGATAGTAATTAATTTACATTCACGGAGCTGGGTAAGCCTAATGGATAAATCTGTTTAGTCAAATTAAAGGATTAAATATCAAATACAGCATTAGCTCAGGAAGCCCAAACAAGATGATCCACTGATATACATCTAACTTACAAATACATGGATCTTAAAGCCAGTTTTCAGTTGCCGTCTCTACAACAAGCAACCTACTTCCACCCAGCTCCTTTTTCATACTTTTGCAATTGATGGGTGCTCCATTTTATACTGGGAGTCTTACTGCTGCTCTGCCTACTTTCGGCTTTCACCACCCATGGCATAGCTACAATGACAAAGCAATGGTGGAAAACCCTATGAAAGCCAATGCGTTCATGGGCAGGATCACAATCTCAAAAAAAGGAAGAAGTGATCAACGGCTAGGGCAACACCGATCGCCACAACTGCTCTCACGGCCATAAAAGGGAAGCAAAAGTTTCGCACTGCAGCTTTAAACCTCACGATGTAACATTCTCGCCAGCTTTTCATTTTGTACCGGACTCTTTTACGCTTAAATCCTATCCTCCGTTTGCATGTACATTTCCTCAGTGTTGCCATGCTACGTTTGCCTAAAATTAAACATGATTTTAGGAGAAAAACCAATGTTCCACTCAGTGTAAACACGGAACTCAGAAGTCAAATTTGTTTTGCGGTACTCGAGCATTTTTGACTCAACTGACAGGAAGCGAAGGAATGGATGCAAGTCATAAGGCATTAGGTTGATCCTGACTCTTAAGAACAAATGAACAATTGCTCCAGTTTTCAGATTTTTTTTTAAAGATATATTTTTACAAGGCTGTCAGCCAAATATTGGAATGCAGAAATATTTTTATCAGGTTCGAACAATATTTTCTTTTGCTTTTTTTTTTTTGAAAGTCGATAAGAAAGAAAAAACAATTAAACACATAAATAATCTACGCATTCCACACATCAGAATCAAAGATTAACATGAACACTGATGCACCTAAAATTCTGAAATAACGACCTTTGTAGCACATCAAAGGGAAACCAGACCCTGTTCGGAAATCAACGCGGCGCCAACGGTTCTGATGATCCAAAGCGATGCAGCTCCACAGCACGTTACAAAAATAGTTCTGCCTTCACAGTCACCGACACAACACCTCACTACAACACCTACTACAGTATATCGCCATGCATGGGTGACATGTTGTTTTGTAACGCCAGAACTGCCACATGACTGGCTGCTACACCTATCAGGGAGCTCTATGCTGCAGATGTTTAAGGACAAAATAGTCACACGAGTTGGATAAAATCAGTTAAGCAAAAAGCCGCTCATGCCACAATGTTAAAAAAAAAAAACAACTCCAACAATCATGTTATGCAAAGAGGCGACTTAGTGTGCTCTAGTGGACCACAGAGATGGTTGTAAAAATGTTGTCATTTGACACGCTCTTGGCACTAATGATATATTCATCCAGCACCCAAAAACTCCGTGAAATTTTTTATCTTTCTATGGTAAAGTTACAATTCTCATTAACTGCTTACGCTAAGCGGCAGTTTCATTCTAATGTTAAACAAATTCCCTATATTATCGCGAGAAAACTCCGTCCAATTATCGCACAGCTAATCTTTTTCAAAGTGCTTGAACTTTTCTCAATAGATATCCAGTGTAGATTTCTGCTAAAGGCAACCAGTGTTGCACCCTGCAGGTTGTGTAAAGCTTTGGCCTACTGGTTGTCAGAATGCTCAGGCTAATAAGAAGGTCTGGGTTCCCTCAGTATTCTCTCATATTTCATTAAAGCAAGCATTTTATTTATTTATTTATTTTTTTTTTTTTTTGCAAAAAGCAAAACAAACATGACCTCTCACCTCTTCATTTCAAATCTAAACTGCTCAGAAATTAAATCTATTTATGAGAACAGTTGAAAACTTGTTGTAAACTACAATAAAGGCAACACTCTTGAATCAGTAATGTACCTTAACAGTTAAAATGTTACTCCATATTTAAGTGCTCCACTCCTTGTCAGTTTTGAAGAATAATTAATTCATACTTACATAAAAATGATCGGCTACATAACTGATCTTGCATGAAGAATGCACACCAAAAGTGGCAAAACAGCGGAAAATGGAGGTGACTTTTAAAATGCATCTAATTCAAATCTGAAACATCTTTTTTTTTTTCATCTTGAATAATTTGTTTAGTTACAGCTACAAAAACCACAAAAACAAGCAAAAATGTGGTCAAGGCCCTTATAAAGCTGACTTTAATCCTCAGAGAATGAGAAATGTATAGCTGTCAAAGGACTGTGGAATTTCTTCTTATCGGTCGTTTTGCCTTGAAGCTGACCACAGTTTAGCGATCTTAGCCACTGCGGTCTCCGGTGCGCTGTATCCGGGCCAGGACTAGCTCACGGGACACCTTCTTGCGGTCTTTGGCCAGGCCCAAGAAACACATGAAGTCGATGAAACAAGTGGTAAGGTTCAACTTGCAGCCAAACTCGCTGGTTGCATAGTCATATGGGAACGTGTGGTGATAGTTGTGAAATCCCTCACCTGCAAAGCACAGGAAACAGGAATGAACGATTAAAAAAAACATGTAAAACTGGATTTCAGTCAAAAGCCGTCTTTGCAACGCGTTCCGTGTTTTCAGTTTTCAGTCTTTAAAAGAAAAAGAAGATTCTTCAACTGTTTCACTGCTGGGATCTGTGTTTACAGGTAGCCTGTGGTGTTGTCACAGGTTTTGGGTGGTTCGATACCACTGGCTGTGATGTCATTACTGCTGCTCCCACCTGTCTGCTTTTCCCACCTGTAAAGTCACCTGAGCCGCGCTTCCCTCCTTTCCATTCTCTAATCATTCCCTGCAGTATTTATAATCCCACCTCACCCACTTTTCAGATAGTCTCTGAGCTTTGTCGGTGTTTGCCTGCTTATGAGGTGTACTACAAACCAAAATAAAAGGGGAAAAAAAAAGGCTGTCAAACCAGAATTCTAATGTTTATAAGTTCGGTTTCATTCTTCTCCTGATGATATTCCCTAGATGCAAACCTGCTTCAGCCAAACCATGGTAATACCACACAACTAGAGAGTAAAGACGCAGTAGCACATAGGTCCTTTTTTAACTAATACTGCAGCCAGCAATTCTGAGCTTTGAAAACGTATTGATCTATTGAACAACCCGACCAATATATCAACCGCCGATCTATCAGCCAGTATTTGCTATTTGGCTGATAAGGAAAAAGAAGGGACAAGGGGAAACACCCTTCAATCATGAGTGGTGATCTTACATAGTTTGTCCACCTGAAACTCAATTTCCCTGTTGGCTACAAACATAACCAGCTGATTAGAGCAGAGCTCAGTGTATAAACAAGAAATTTACAATTACATTTATTTCCGTTGTCATATTATCTTAGTAAATAACTAGACTAGGCCTATACTATACTAAAACTATACCTAAAAGCACATCTTCATCATCATGTTATCTCAAGCTGAAAGTTGGAAAGCTCTCATGTGCTGCTGCCAACGGTACACACTGAGAGACAGCGAAATAAATGTTTCAGCCAGCAGTGCTCTATTTTTATTCCTCCATGACCTTTTTGGCTCGAGTTTAGTAGGTAGTCCTTGATTAGCTAACGTTCCTTTTATAGCTGTATGCACAAAGCCTGATGAAGAAAGACTGGGTTACCCAAAAATGTTGATAACAGCGTTTTTTTATACCCTTTATCTTTATCTTATCCTATTTTAGTGTGTGTCCAGCCAGCTAATGCAACTAAAGCTTGGCCATGTGGACCTTGCCTAAAGGTTGTAGAACGTCTACAACCTTGTGAAACATTTTTCCCCCTGAAGAAAAACTTGTTTTGCAACCACGTAGCTTTGTAGTGATTTTGTGTCTTCCAGGCTTTGACTGTTAGGAGTTTATATGGTTTTATGCACATAAATTCTACATTTAAATTCTGATAAATTCTTTATGAAAAACTGATCAAGAGATTGGCATTGGCCTTGTTCACCAATATAAAATGATAGTCAGTGTCGGACAGCTAACTGCTGCATTAATTCAGTTTTGCACTGACTAATTGTTTGAACCTGGTGTGACGAGCTGACAGCTTTTAAAACTGTTCAGTTATTTAAAGGAAAAGCAATACTACAAAAAAATATTGGAACAGACTAAAATGCTTTAAATGTTAATATCATCCGAGAATTGCACAGCAGTTGCATCCCTAAAATAAACAATTCAGAAGCAACTGCAGGAACAATGACAGACTGTGGTGGTATATTGGTGACATCGTGTGATGTTCCCTAACAAAAGACGACTTTCTTCCCTGCATAATCATTACCAAAGATACAGCTGCTAAATTGTGCCTCTTCTAAAACTAGACTTAACTTGCTATGGGGTGAATAGCTGGGTGCCATCTTAGAATATCCAGCTCTTTTGATATATCTATCGGGTGCTCTTTGTCACTGCACTGCTGACTCCTACTGGTTGAACAAGGTGCATGCATAGTGAGGGGAGGAGGTGGACAAAGTGGTAATCAGGTAAAAATCGTTAATAAAATAGGTTCAAATCAAGTATGTACTTTTTGTTTTTAAACATTTTATCCACCATTTAGCACATCTGGTAAATAAAATGTTTACATGGGCCTGTAAAAGTCGTTCCTTTTGTTTTAGTTCAATTCAAGTTCGTTTATATAGTGCGAAATCACAGCAACAGCCGCCTCACGGCGCTTTATACTGCAAGGTAACGACCCTGCAGTATTAAGGAGGCATTCCCAACAATCGGAAGATCCCCTGTGAGCAAGCTGTCGACGACGGTGGGAAGGAAAAACTCGCTTTTAACAGGAAACCTCCGGAAGAACCAGGGAGAAACGGGGAGCCACGTGCCACGACTGTTTGCGAGGTGAGGGGACAGAGAAAAGAAAAAAGAGAAAGCATAGGAAGACAGGGCAAAACAGAAACTATGGGGAGAGAGATGATAATCACTGGTTAGCAAATTTGTTTAAGCATAATTGGATGATTTGACTTTTACTGCACTGAACGCTTGACGCAACTGTGCAGTCAAATAAAAGCAAAACGAGGGCATGTATCGTGTACAATGTAATTACATTTGCTCTGAAGGTGACGCTATAGCGAAGTAACAAACTTACATTAAAAATCTGGCTTTTCTTCTTCAATTTTACTTAAAAAATACTTAAAAATATCCCTATACAAGCATTCGCTGTCCTGTGCTGTACATTCTGGTGTGTAATTTCTGCCATGAGCATGTGTTGGGGTGTTGTTCATACCTATAGCACTGAAAGTGACAAACTTGTTCTCTCTGGGGTTGATGTTCTTGTCATAGGGCCTGTTTCCCCACATGTGGGCAGCGCTGTTGACCAGCCAGGTAGCGTTCAGCACCAAGGTGTACCTAAGCAGAGTTGGGACGAAGTAGGCCACCCACAGAGACTCCCCCCACAGGTACCAAGGCACGATTGTTGGGATAATAAAGCACATGACCAGCACGGAGAGCTTGTAATACCTGTTGAGGAGATAGCGAGAGTAGGTATCAGCAAAAAACAAATTATTTAAATACAAAAACTCTGTTTGCCAGATAAGAAAATGCTCACTTTTTTTCCCTTTATTTCCACTTGACCTATTTTCCATTCAGGCCTGCTCTCCGTGAATCTTACGTTAGTAATTGTCATCTTGTTAAACCAGAATGACTAACACAGCTTGCCATTATGAAAACATCTCCACAGCAGTACTCTAACATTTACTTATATTTATAGAAACTGCAACACTACTGTCTTGCTATTTGCACTCATTGCACTTTGTTTTTTTTAGCAACTAGATGCAGTGTGAAGTCTGAACCTTAATTATGCCACTTACTTCCTCTGAAACATGACAACTTTGTCTGTTAGCAGGTCGGTGAGCTCCAGCTTGCGTCCTTTCTCGATCACATCAGGGTGTTTGCGTACCAACAGCCAGCCGATATGAGAAAAGAAAAAGCCACGGACGGCATTGTGAGGGTCGGCGTCTGTTTCCGAGTATTTGTGGTGAACCCTGTGGTCTCGAGCCCATTCAAAGATATCATTCTGTGGTTTGGAATTAAGATCAAGATTATGCACACTGTTGACACAGCACGGTACTTATAGTGAAACAAAAGCTGCTATTATCTTGGCTGCAGGTCATAAGTGTGTGTTTGTATACTAAAAAGATGTGTCAGCAGAACAGTCATTTTTGCTTGCCTGAAATGCCATGGAGTTAGCTACACCGAGGAAAATCCTTAAAGGTAATGCAGCCTTGTAGGATCTGTGACTCCACAGGCGATGCGCTCCTGCAGTGACTCCTAACGCACTTATCAAAAAACAAAGTACAGCTGTGGAAAGAAACACATGGGCAAATTAGTTTGACCTACTTTTGTGCTCATGTCAACAGCACTTTGTTGCACAGATGCTGCACACTGCAGTGTTTGTGCATTATTTTCTGCACAATTGCACTGTTATTGTTAGGGCTGGGAAGAACATCCAGCAACAAGTGACAGATTACGAGACAGATACATCGTGACAGACGCGTTTCTGTTTTTTCCCCCCAAATAGCATAAATTGTTAAAGCACTAGAGTATTTGTTTACCACAATCTTTATCAATTTGATCCAAAAGGCTCTTCGGGATTTGATTAGATTTTGTGCACAATTTCCAGCGGAAATTGCAAATTTCCCTCAGGTCACCAGGTTAGCACTGGCCTGTCTGTTTCCCAAGGAGATTATAGTGTAAAGCTGTGTCCTTTACAGTGTAAAAGAAGCCAAATCTAATAATAAAAACATTTATGGTTGAGTTCATGAAAGACTAAAAGCTAAAAGAGTTGTGACACAGCAGTGAAGAAACTGTATAAATAAAGTGCAGTTTATGCTAATTATCCAGCTATTCTTCATTTGTCTACTTGACCTTTATTTTTAAAAAACTGACATTAAGGAGGCCAGTTTATTTTCCTGACAGCCCAGCTTAAAAGGTACGTGCTGTAACATGTAATCTCTGATGACTTTATTCCTGATCTATAATCCTCCATCTCCATGAAGGATGCTGGGAGGATCACAAATATATGCAGCCGCCTATTTGCATTCACCACCGGCGAGAAAAGCAGGGCGCGCTGCTGACATAACAGCTGTTGATTTGATAAAATATGATTTCCACTAAATAAGTAAACAAAACCAACATGCAAAAAAGGAGAAAAGAGGGTGTAACAGGCAATTATCTTTTCGCACTTACACCAAAGCAAGGTCAAACGAGATGCTGAAGGTACGACGAACACGCCGTACAAGGCTCCTATGTGCAACAGAGTCATCAGTATGACATTTTTCCATACGATGATCCGGGGAGGTTTTGGGCCCTCTTTCTCTTTGTACGTGTGATCAAACGCGTCTTCTGTGGCGCTCTCTGGAAGAACATCCCCGTTGCTGGACTTGCGCTGCTGCTGCTTGTTCTCTAACGCCTCCGCCTCCGTCATTGTGGCAGCGGTGCTGTGATGCTGTGAGCGGCAAACAGAGGAGAGAAGTCAGTCGCCTCGGCGCTTTTTGTGTGTAATGGAGGCTGTTTTGTCAATATGTTAATTAATTTTGTGCTGACTAGCCCCGGCAGGCTAGCTGCTTGCTGGCTGGCGCTGTCGGAGGATGAAGAGGAAGACGGTAGCGACGATGCTGACTTATAAAGCGGTAACGCGACGCTCCAACGCGCCAAAAAAAAAAACCCTGATGAAACACCTGTGGGAGGGAAAATTTTTACTCAATAACTCACCGAAGATAGGCAGAAGGGCAGAAACGAGATAAACGGAGGACAGTCTGCTTGACCCAAAATTACAGTAACCCAGAAAAGGGAGAGTGATAGCTCCGCAATGAGAACTAGAACTCGTGGTGTGGCCGACCAATGAGCGCTCGCCTGTCGCCTCTTGCTCGGGCTCTGATTGGCTGTTTGTTTATCTGCTGTTCACCTTTTATTCATTCTCCGGTTTGCCAGATGTATATTTGCCACCTCTGGAGACTAGCCGATCTTGTTGCTGTCTAGACATGCACAAACATTTACCGTGTAACCGTTTTCCTTTTGAAATCAGGCGTGGAGTGAAACACAAGCACTGTGTTAATGATGCAAGTGGAACAAAACAAGTTACTGTACCCAAACCCCGGCAGTAGAGCCCCCTCCCCCCTGTCCTCCACCCACGTAGGAAAATAGGATGCTTCATCTGTTACGTCATCCCCATTCTCCGTCTATAGAAGTTTAATTGTGAGATACAAACTTTCAATGTGCCCAAAAATAGCATAAGCTGCTGAACACCAGAAAAAGTATTTTAGGCATGACGGGGGAAAAAACAACAGAGTCTCCATAAACACTGCAGAACAGGTCGAAAAGGCTGTTTACGTCACCCTGTGAAGAAGAGCTTTGACTCTGCTGCAAAATCAGAATCAGAATCAGAAAGGGTTTTATTGCCAAATGTTGAGCAGGTTTACAACATTAGGAAATTGCAGATACACACTGCATGGCCAAATTAAGGATCACACGGCCCATATTTACCCGGGCGAGGAGCAGAAAATGGATGGATGGTTGGACGGATGGATAAACACACCAATGGGTGTTCACCCTCTTGACCTACATTTGAAAAAAAAATGGCAATCTGTCGCCATCTAATGGTGAAAATGGGGCAGCGCACGCAGCCGATACTGTTGATTTTCTGCAAACAGGGCTCACCTATTACTAAAATCTCCAATCCCCATGCACCAGCAGCAGACAAAAAAATAGCACCACATTGATGAATGCATATCACCGACTGACTGATACATATATTTTTTTCCTGCAGCATCTATCTGGCGTCATCATCAGGCGCCCGTATTTACTTCTGGTCCAGTTAGTTGCTGCTGATGCCTGCTGCGATGGAGGTAAACAGGGACGAAGCGGAGCGCTGCATTGACATTGCAGCGGCCGCCTTAACCAACCAACAGCCGGACAAGGCGCAGAGGTTCCTGGAGAAGGCGCAGAGGCTCTTCCCGACAGAGAAAGCCAAAGGTAAGTCAATATGGGGGGAAAGGGGGAGGGGGGCGCACATTCAGCTGCGAAGATGCGCATCATCACCTCCACAGCCTGCAGCATCACCTGCACTCCTCATGAGCAGCGCATGTAGCCAGGGCCTTTGATAGCACTTAAGCTAGCTGGTTCATTTATGCAGCTTCTGCGTTTTTTCTCATTCTTTTTTTTGTACGAATTTCACTTTAACATGAAGTGTCTGCAGTGCTTTAATTTGCTTTTCTAACAGAAAGCTAAGCCTTTAATATAGGTGAACAGGAGTGGACTGGGAGAAAGGCTAAATAAGTCCTAGATGTCCAAGATTACTACATGCTACTTTCCCATGATCATTTCAAAAAATATTTTTGACAACACAGGTATTATCCTTCTGAGCTCGCCAATCTACAAACCGGATTGCAAAAAAGTTGGGACACTAAACAAATTGTGAATAAAAACTGAATGCAATGATGTGGAGATGGCAAATGTCAATATTTTATTCAGAATAGAACGTAGATGACAGATCAAAAGTTTAATCCGAGAAAATGTATCATTTCAAAGGAAAAATATGTTGATTCAAAATTACACGGTGTCAACAAATCCCAAAAAGGTTGGGACAAGTAGCAATAAGAGGCTGGAAAAAGTCAACTTGAGCATAACGAAGAGCTGGAAGACCAATTAACACTAATTAGGTTAATTGGCAACATGATTGGGTATAAAAAGAGCTTCTCAGAGTGGCAGTGTCTCTCAGAAGCCAAGATGGGTAGAGGATCACCAATTCCCACAATGTTGCGCAGAAAGATAGTGGAGCAATATCAGAAAGGTGTTACCTGGCGAAAAATTGCAAAGACTTTGCAGTTATCATCATCAACTGTGCATAACATCATCCGAAGATTCAGAGAATCTGGAACAATCTCTGTGCGTAAGGGTCAAGGGCGTAAACCCATACTGGATGCCCGTGATCTCCGGGCCCTTAAACGACACTGCACCACAAACAGGAATGCTACTGTAAAGGAAATCACAGAATGGGCTCAGGAATACTTCCAGAAACCATTGTCAGTGAACACAATCCACCGTGCCATCCGCCGTTGCCAGCTGAAACTCTACAGTGCAAAGAAGAAGCCATTTCTAAGCAAGATCCACAAGCTCAGGCGTTTTCACTGGGCCAGGGATCATTTAAAATGGACTGTGGCAAAATGGAAGACTGTTCTGTGGTCAGACGAGTCACGATTCGAAGCTCTTTTTGGAAATGTGGGACGCCATGTCATCCGGACCAAAGAGGACAACCCAAGTTGTTATCAACACTCAGTTCAGAAGCCTGCATCTCTGATGGTATGGGGTTGCATGAGTGCGTGTGGCATGGGCAGCTTGCATGTCTGGAAAGGCACCATCAACGCAGAAAAATATATTCAGGTTCTAGAACAACATATGCTCCCATCCAGACGTCATCTCTTTCAGGGAAGACCCTGCATTTTTCAACAAGATAATGCCAGACCACATTCTGCATCAATCACAACATCATGGCTGCGTAGGAGAAGGATCCGGGTACTGAAATGGCCAGTCTGCAGTCCAGATTTTTCACCTATAGAGAACATTTGGCGCATCATAAAGAGGAAGATGCGACAAAGAAGGCCCAAGACGATTGAACAGTTAGAGGCCTGTATTAGACAAGAATGGGAGAGCATTCCTATTTCTAAACTTGAGAAACTGGTCTCCTCGGTCCCCAGACGTCTGTTGAGTGTTGTAAGAAGAAGGGGAGATGCCACACAGTGGTGAAAATGGCCTTGTCCCAACTTTTTGGGGATTTGTTGACACCATGACATTTCACCATATTTTTCCCTTAAAATGATACATTTTCTCAGTTTCAACTTTTGTTCCGTGATTTATGTTCTATTCTGAATAAAATATTGACATTTGCCATCTCCACATCGTTGCATTCAGTTTTTATTCACAATTTGTTTTGTGTCCCAACTTTTTTGGAATCTGGTTTGTAGCTCAATACTAAATAAATACAGAAATACAACATTCAGCTGAATAAAAACAGAAAAGTGATCAATATAGCCACACATGCAAACAAATGTATTATATTTATTGGTGTGAAAAAGTTTGTCTTTTTCTTGTTTTTGTGTTTTTGTATTTTTTTGTACATTTGTGCCACTTACATGCTTCAGATCATCAAACAAAATTCTCTGATAATTGAGTACCTCTTGGAGTACCAATAGTACTCCAAGAGCACATCAATGGCTCATCCAGAAGGTCACAAAATTCTGTGGACTGATGAGACAAAAGCTGAACTTTATAGAAAGGTTGAGTGCCTTTGCATCTGGCATAAAACACACAGCATTTCATAAAAAGAACATCAGACCAGCGATCGGTTCCTGCGTTGAAGCTCAATCGCACAAAGTAACTGAAAAGCAACCAGCAAGTCCACCTTTAAATAAAAACCAAATGAAGGTTTTGGGTTGGCCTAGTCAAAGTCTGGAGTTAAATTCTATTCAGATACTTTAGGATGACCTTAAACAGACCATTCATACTGAAACAATTCTGCCAAGAACAGTGGGCCAAAATTCCTCCAGAGTGATGTGAAAGATTCATTGTGAGTTATCCCAAATGCTTGATGCCAGTTCTTGCTGCCGTGGATGGCACAACCAGTTATTAGGTTTAAGGGGCAATAACTTTTTCCCACGGGGCAGGTAGGTTGGTTAGTTTTTTCACTTAATAAATGAAATCCTGATATAAAAACTGCACTTTGTATTATATTTGAGTTATCTATGTCTAACATTAAGTTTTCTTTGATTCTCAAACATAGAAGTGGGACAAATGTGCAAAACAAATATGACATTAGGAAGGATGCAAATACTTTTTCGCACCACTATACATGGTGGCATGTGCTTGTGCCCAACTTTACCTCTTCTTAGATTCCTGTGGATACCCACATACACCCCAGATACGCCTTAGACCATGACCCACCTCACATATAAATATAAAACCTGTTAAAACTGCAGCCACAGCATATCTGAAAATAAAATAAAAGAAATAAAGCTGCAACAAGCAGACAGATCCTCCAACAAAAACTATATTTAGTTTAATGATTTTCAAACATAGCTATAGTTGTATACTCTGCCCCCAAGAAGCTCTTATAATACCATTGAACTTGATTGCTTGGTAGCTTTACATCTGCTTGATGACATGGATAGTCCCACTATCGAACATTTTGTGTTTTTAACTGCTGTTGAGTACTTGATAGAATATCTTTGAACATATCTTCTAGTATTGCTGGATGTAATAGCAAAGAATGGATTTACACCCAGACAAGATATCCATTCAGACTTCAGCGGGGTGTCGGAGCCTCGACAACGGCAGAACATAAAGGAGAACGCCAGACCTGAAGAAAAGCCTGCAGAGTCTTCAAAATCCTACATGGCTGATCAGCTAGAAGCTGTGAGGAGGTACGTAAGACTGCTGATTACATAAACATACTGTTGGTTAAAATAAACTCCTTGATGGGTATATTGACTGCAATTGTGATTGAAATTTGTAATCATGTGCTCTCTGCACAGGATAAAACAATGTAAAGACTTTTACGAAATTCTCGGGGTGTCGAAAGATGCCTCAGAGGATGAACTGAAGAGATCGTATAGAAAACTTGCTTTGAAATTCCATCCAGATAAGAACAGCGCTCCTGGGGCAACAGAGGCGTTTAAAGGTAAGACGGTGATTAAACTCATCCAAGGTTCATATAGCACTTACAGAAAGCAACTTATAGCAGCTTCATGTTCTAACTTTCCAACAGCTATTGGCAGCGCGTACGCTGTTCTGAGCAATGTTAACAAAAGGAGACAGTACGATCAGTGTGAGGAAGGGAGAAGACATCCTTCCAGACACGGCCCAGACAATGGAAACTTTGAGCCGGATATTTCACCTGAAGAGCTCTTTAATATGTTCTTTGGAGGAGGTTATCCATCAAGTTAGTCTCATAGTTTGGTGTTTCCATATAATGCATGTGAGACGGAGTATTTTAATTGCAAATATATATTTCTGTGGTGCGTTTTTTATGTGCTAAATGTGTTAAATCAATTTAGGCCATGCTCACGTATACAATAATGGGCGGATGCGTTACCAAAGGCGGGAGAGAAGAGAGCGACAGCAAGATGTAAGTTTGATACTTAAAAAGCTAAACTGTAACTGTATAGAGTTGTTTATGTTTTGCCAGCAGGGGGAGACATTTAGTCATCTGCCATTTTACAAGCTGAGGCTTCTCTCAGAGACTGTGTGTGTTTGTTTGTAATGTGTTTTTCCACAGGGAGGTCTCGCCCTCTTTGTGCAAGTCATGCCCATCCTCATCCTGGTTATTGTGTCAGCTCTCAGTCAAATAATGGTCAACAGCCCCTCCTACAGCCTCAGCTTCAGGCCGTGAGTGTGATCCTTGTAACACAAGAATCTAAAGTAACACAACTAACTGTTGTTCTGCAAAACTGCGAGGGACTTAGACAAAAGATTATCTCTATGTTAGCAGAATCCAACCCAGGTTTTTTTCACGGTACTTCTGCTTTCACTCGATCTTTGCATAAGCTGGGTGGTCGTGTTAGATTTGCCTTCACAGTATTGGCGGTTGTTTCTCCTCGTATTAATTTGCTGCTACCTCTGTTAGTTCCAATTAATCACAGAGCTCCTCTTGTTTGTGCTGCTGTCATGTGTCTTGTCCCGTTCCCAGTACACTGCCTTTGTGTGTTCAGATATACGCCTGCAGTTTCGGGCCCTGCTTTAAACCATTGTCAGCAGTGACTCATGTTAAGACAGACAGATGGTGCAAGATCTGTGCTGCATTCTGTCATATGATAACACTCCCACACTCTGGCCTGTTGTCACGTAGGTCAGCAGGTTACTCACAGAAGAGGCTGACTGAGAACCTGAAGGTGCCATATTATGTGGGGGAGCAGTTCTCCAAAGAGTTCACTGGTGTGAATCTGAAAAATCTGGAGCGGACGGTGGAGGATGATTATATTTCCAACCTTCGCAACAACTGCTGGAAAGAGAAACAGCAAAGTATGACAATAAATGATTCTTATATCTGAATTTAAGCATGAGTATTGGTGTGACTGTCAGTGTCATTATCAGTGCTGAGATCATTTTTTAATTGTGTGTGTGTGTTTGTTTTTTACAGAGGAAGGAATGCTATACAGAGCTCGCTATTTTGGGGACAGCGATCTATACCAAAGAGCACAGAGGGCTCGCACACCAAGCTGCGCCAAGTTGTCCGAGATCACAGCTTCTTTACATGGATGAAAATGCTTTCATGATTCAAAGCAAGTTCTTCAAACTCTGAATATTTTCTCATTTTGGCACCAGGGATGGGGCAAAAATATTGACATTCCAATATATAGCACTGATTCCCCTTGATTAACTTAGGGTTGCAGGAGGGCTGAAGCCTATCCCAGCTGGCATGGGGCTAAAGACTGAATACACAACCAGACAGACAGCCCGTCAGAAGGCTTTCCGCTTGGTTATCCTCTGTTTTCTCAATACCATATTTGGCTTCAGTATGTCAATACTTGTATCATGCAAGCACATCAGACTAATTTTACTTACCAGAATCACAGCTTCATGACACTTGAACCTCTAAAAAGAATGGTGGTAAAGTCAACAAAAGTCAACCAGCTTGCTGTGAAGACGTTTTGAAAAAGGCTTTTTTTTTTCTTGTCTCCAGGTTTCCAGAATCACTACAAAAGATTACCAGTAATTTATTAAGATGCATTTCTACAATCTGGAGGCTGAAGATGACTCAACAAGGAGCAGACCAGCACCACTCGTCACCAAACAGATCACACAAACTAACTCAAACAATTTCTGTGGAAGTCTAGTATGTGATAAAAAGATATAGCGTTAATATAGTGTTTTAGAATGGAAATGGTACTTAAAATAGCTTGCTATCCTCATAAAATGTGGGTTTGAAAAACTTTAGGTTACTTGCGCAACTCTGGTTCTCAGAAAAGCATTCGTTTCGATGGCTCACTATGCGATGCTCCTCCTTGGGTATTCCTCAGAAATATTTATTTCATTATGCCAATCCTGATTGGCTGATGATCGTAACAAACATGTCATTCAGAACCAACCACCCTTAAGTAGCTTGCACAAATAAGCTATGTTTATTCAAGATAAGCTAGGCAGCTAGCACCCAGTGAGCTAACACTCCTAAATGAATTCTTTTGTTTGTGTATTTTTCCATTACAAAAAATACCATAGTATAAAAACAAAACTATTTTTTGGTGGGGACTGTTGCATCTATTTTATTTATAGCCTATAGCACATTTAAACAACAGAAGTTGACCCAAAGTATTTAAGAGATAGGCACATATACCAAAAACCCTGTTACATGAAATACATGAAAAACTGGAAGTTGTGTTGACAAATTATTGTGGAAAATAAAAATCATAGTGATTTGTGGTCATGAAAACATGTTTAGAATTTGCTAATTTGATGAGGATGTGATCACCAATCAATTAGGATTGGCATAATGGTTCTGAGTACACAGGGAGGCGCATTCCATGTCTAAAGGTCAAAACGGATACTAAGAATGAGAACCTCCAAGCACTAAAGAAAGAACTTAAAGAACACTTTATATTTGTTTTGGGGGGAATGGTATGAAAACAGACCATACTTAAGTTATATGTAGTCATATGGATGTTATTTATGTAGCAATATAACAGATGCCACATTGAATGCCACCTTGATTTTATGCTGTAATTCAATGGAGAAAAGTTTGAGGGGTTTTGATTTTAGATGCACATTCTCAGACTATGCAGTAGTAATCTAATACGTCAAATGTCTAGGCTTTTTAGACACTTGAACACCTGAAATTTGTCTTCTTCTGCTGTGTGTGAGATAGCCACTAGGACATGTCCCTGTCACTTTACCTCCTTTAAATGTATTAAGGGCAAACATGTAGTACAACTTCACAATAAATGCCATGAGAATGAGACGTGGCGATCCACAAAATCAGACTTTAACCAGTTCAAGTTGGGAACTGTCACGTCTCTGCTCAATCTGTCGGAAAAAGCCATTTTTTGTCTCACTTTTTAAGTTTATAGTATGCTACTTATTCTTTGTATTATTTCTTGGAGAAATAGATTATAAAGAGAGGATAAGAAAACCATACAGATCTTGTTCACTTCGTTTTTCCACCATGTTTTTAATTCTAGATGAAAATAAACATGGTTGCTCAAACGTGCTAAGTGTGACTCTCTGCTTTGAACAGAACAGGCACAGAATGGGAGATAAAAGCTCAGTCAGCGCATTTGGCACGTACAGTGTGCCGGCCGGCCGGCCGGCTTACAGAGACAGGGAACTAGAGACAAGGCGGCGTGCACGTTCAGCTCTTCAGTGACGTGCAAAATGTGCCTGGCAGGATGTGCAGCGTCACATTCTTTCAGCACAAACACACTCAGCTGTTTTTTTTGCAGACTGCAGATGCTGCACATCTGATTCATGACTTTGACTTCTTCAAATTTCACACTAGCTTTTTTTTAGGTTTTTAAACTTTTGCGGCATCGTACATGATGTGGCTTTAATGGCTGCCACATATTCCTGTCAGCTGTTCTGCATCGGAATACCGTTAACCACTGTACCTCACCGCACCAGCTGGTGTGCTCTAGTGTAGTTTGCGTTTGTAGATTTTGCAGACTGGGTTCACACATGCACGCACATTTGAAGACTTGATGTTCGTTTGCTTTCTCTCATTCTTAGATCTCTCCTAACTCTGTCAGCGAAGTCAACTATGGATCATTTGGATATGAAAGATTGAATAAATAATAATAAGAAAAAACAAAATGTTAGAAAACAATAATTTATTTGCATTCGATAAAGGTACAAAAAAAAGTTCACTGAGTATTTGAATATCAACCGAAGCAGGACAGGGCTGCACAACACAAGATCAAGTTACATTTGTAATCTTAGCCGCGGCTTGCACAAACAATGCACAAGGCAAGCAAGGGTAGGCCTTTCACACTTCACAAAGGTTACCAAATGTTCTCTTGGTGTACCACTTCATCAGGCTTTGTCCAATTCAATTAACTGTCATGTATAAAAAGAAAAAGAACACAATGAACTTCAATAATAACTATAACAATATAGCTAGCTGCCGTTGTTTAGTTTCAATAGAAACTGAGGTATGCACTTCCAATACTTGTAAATGCTATGTCACCAGATATAATATGATGGTTACATGTTGTCATTTTAAAATCTGAATGTCAGTGAGTGAGTATTAGGAGCACTGCCTGCTCCAGGTACCATAAAGTTCAGCCCCTTTACAGTGGGAACAGTAGACTACATCATGACAAAGTCCATCTGATACACTTCAGAATGCTTCATATACATGTAATTACAGTAATAGGCCCCTTTGTGAGCTTTTATTGTCCTCTTGTCAGCATCAAAGCACATCAGTGTTTGTATTACTTAACATTCCTCAATTAGAAGATCTTCAGAACTATACAGCTTCTTCTTGATCACACGGAAACCAGTGCTAAGTTTAATAGCTTGTCTCACTACTGGAGTAGAAGGCGACTTTGTGCTAAAGAGTCCTTGAATTTTAGGCCAAAGGCCGCCCGACTCTAGCCTCAACACCAGAGCGAGCTGAAATGTAGGGACAAGGTATGGGTCCACAGATAGCTGTCCCATGCTCTCACAAACATCCCCTTGCTCAACGCAGAGGTCAATGAGAGCCCCTCTTAAACCGCAGGGCTCACTAGCTGCCAGATGAAGGAGCTCTTGTCCAATGTGCTCCAGAAGTTTGTCTGGAATGAGCAGTTTTGTACATCTTAAGGCGCAATCTGTGTCTTTGGCTTCTCTCAGACTTCGTGCAATCAGGTCCACTACTTCTTTTAAGAGTGTCTCCTCCATTGGATCATAAAACAGGTCCTCATTGAAGGCACACAAGTCACTTGAGACATCTGAGCCTGTGTAAAAGCAAGAATGAGTTAGAACCTGAAACTTGCATACAGAAGAAAAGAATCATGAGATGTGAGATGCCTATGCAGCATTGTTTACCTGAGTCTGAGAGATCACTCCTGCTGCTGTTGTTGGACCCTGACTCCATACTCCTGCTGCTGGCAGGTGTGCTGAAATCAGTCAGTCTTTGAACCAGTTTGCCCCAGGACAGCCTTCTGTCGCTGCTGTCCACTGGAGAAGGAGGTGAGCTGCCGATGTCAGTATATGCAAAGAGTTCAGGCATGGTTGTCCTCCCTGCAGTATCAGCTGCTTATGTGGTCAACTGTCACAGGAGAAACAAAGGCAACAGATGAGCACCCAACTACTGCCGTTAATTCCACGTTTAAAGACTTAATTAAACATACATATCAGGCTTTTGAGGTATAGCTTTCTGCTAAAGATATGAACAATAAACATTTTCAAAAAGAACACCTTTTTAATTTGACTGCAGCTAGAAGCTGTTTCACTGTCAAAATTAGCTGTAAACTAGCAAAACCGGCAAATAAATTAATTGTACTTACTCGTTATTTAAATTCTGCGTGGTTCAAGGTCGCGGTGGATGTTTAAGATGCGTAGTTTTAACGGTTATTGTCTGCAATTTGTATATGGAAACTTCTTTCCTCTGCTCTTCCTCTCTTTCTCTCACCAGCTGCCAAGCTCTGCAGTCTGTCCTGCAACAATGTTTATATATGTGGGCCGCGAGGCCACGCCTGTCTCTCCCTAACCAGCCAATCAAATAGAGAGGCACGACACCAGCGCTGCTTCTTGCCTGGTAACATGCCAGCAGAGAAGAAAGACAAACAGGAGGGGGAGGAGGAGGAGGAAGGGGGGTGGTGGGGGATGAATAGCAGACCCTAGTGTTATGGATATGTTTCAGGGGACTTGAGTGGGCTTGAAAATGATCTTGTTGTTTCTTTGTTTGATATCTTATGTGGGTATTTGGTAAACCGTTTTTCTGTATGTGCACCTACATTTTAACAGAATGTAGGCCTGGATGAGCAGGTTCAGTGTTGCAGTGCACATTACGTCACCTGTTTTGCTAAACCATTACATCAGAATTTTTTATCTGGCACACAGAGATGCAGAGAACACTCAGTGTGCTGTGCTCAAGGCAAAACAGATAATAAAAACGGCTATGGGACGCCTCTTTCTACATTTACCCTTGAGTTACAAACAAAAAGACTGCACAGAAATTCCATATGTTATCATCATCATTATTATTAGAGTTATTTAGCAACGTTCTACGCAGAAATGCGCCAGGGGGTTGTTATTGTAGCATCTTTGCACCATTTATTACTTCATCACAAAAGATAGCAAAGTGTTTTAAGGCATAACACAAACTGTGTATGAGAGTAAAAACATATAGCGGATTTGTTAGAATGCAAAAGCAAGTTATTTGTGTCGGGGCCATAGGCTACATACTACACATTTTGCTCACAGCTGTATGTTGGAAAGCAGCCAGAGGCTACGCTGCATTTCTGCACGTGTGTAGGCGTGGAATACACTGTACTTTGTTAGACAGGAACTGAAATACATAAACACGTGTAGGAACACTATGTTCTGAGGTGGATGCTATAAAAAAGTTATCAGAAATCTTTAGCAGGGGACGTGGAGTAAGAAGATTTAGTAGCTTAAGTAAAAACAACAAAAACTATGAGAAATCACTTTTTAATTGGATTCTCAGAAAGTGTGGCCAGAAACAAGCTAGAAAAAGAAATTTAGGCTCCAGCCAGAGGTGTGTCCTGTTGTGTTCAGGGCTGTCCTGAAACACTCAGTACAGTACACTCTGTACACTCCCACCCTTCACTTGCTTGAAGACAATCATTCACTGAGGAAAACACCAAGTTTGCACGTTTACTCACTGTCACCACAAGACAAAAGTGGCACGGAAAACTGCACTGATGGGTTTCAGACTTTAGCTCGTTCAAAGAACAGAATGAACAACAGCAATATCAAAATACATACCACAAAAAAAGCAGCACAAATACTTTTCTATCCTTGGATTTAACAAAACTTAACACAGTGAGGTGGAGTTGGACAAAATACACACCAGGCAAAACAAACAGCAACCAATGTGAAGAATGTCCCAAGTCTGATTTTATTTACAAGCTCTCTTTGTTTTGTTCCAATTGCTGGTGGAGTAAGGACATACACAGAAAGGAGAAGAGACCAACAGTGCAGCAGGCTTTATGTTTATAAGTTACATTGGAGCCATTTGGAAACACAATGCTTCTCTTCCAGGGATTTAATACCAAATGTAGTATTTACATTAACATGAAGGCTAATTCCAATGAGAGAATCATCTTGAACAGCCTAAGGCAGATGGAAAATCTGTTAACTTGTGAATTGTGTAGTTATAAGAATGTTGTTGACAAGATTTTATTTAGTATGCTGGGTTTAATGTAATAAGTGGTTTAAAAATAAAACAATCATATAGAAGTGATAAAATAACACATCTCACATTTGGGATCTCCAGATAACACTTTTAAACTTATGATACAGAATACAGAAGGAATATCATGTGTAACTTGAAAAAGGTTACATTTTCCTTCTATTTGGCTGATTAAATAAGCAAAAGACATCTGAATCTCTTTATTTAAGATGGTGTGAATCCCAATAGCTGTTCAATAGGTTTATACCGCCACTCGTCTGCTTCTAGCTCCTCCACCAAGCTCGCGAGTTTCTCCATTCGAGACACTTGCTGATCTGTAAGAATGGACATTACTCATTAGTATACCTGTTTCTATTAGATCAGGGGTGTCAAATATAAAGCCTGGGAGCCAGAACTAAAGATTTTAATTCGGCCCACATGGCTTTAGAACAACTGAAGGTGGGCATAAATTTTAGCCTTTTATACAGTTAAAATACAGTTAAATAATGCTAACCATTTATATGATGCCAACGTGATTAAGTAACGGATCAAAACAAAAAATGTGTTTTTTCACCGTCTATATATCTCGCAGGGATTAAATTTGTAGTTACACTGTGAGAAACGGGAGTTTCACTCATCCAGCCCATTTAAGATGAAGGTAGGCTATATGTGGCCTATAATGTAAAATGGGTTTGGCACCCGTATTAGATCAACCAAGACTAATGTGAAGCTATGCAAATATAGTTAGACTTACCATGTTTAACCTGTTTCAGTGTTGAGGCCACTTGGTAGCTGAATACAGACTCGCATAAAAATCTGTCAGAGCCATCTAAAAAGAAACGTAAAATGAAAAAAAAGGTCAGTCAAATAAAGAATTCTTATTCAAGCTTTCGTCTCCAGGGTAATAAAAGCCAAAACGTAGATTTCAAGCTACATCAGAAAGAGATCTTAAAATATTTCATATATTTATGACATAAGAAGTACAACAACAGTAAAATACAGCTAAAATAGTTTTGGGTTTTTTAAAAAACATTACAATGTCAAAGCCTAAGAGACAACATCCATTAGTATACACTCAACCACCATTTTATTAGGCACACCTGTTTAGCGGCTTGATAACGCAAACATGCAATCAGTGAATCACGAAATCAAGAAATGCTGCATGGTCAGATGAGTCTCGATTTCTGCTGCCACATTTTTAGGGTCAGAATTTGGCGGGACCAATATGAAAGTATGGATCCTTCCTGCCTTGTATCACTGGATCTCGCTATTGATGGTCTAATTGTGTGGGAGATATTTTCTTTCTTGAGTATGATTTAAATGCCACATATTACCTGAGTATTGATGTTGATAATGTCCACCCCATTATGAGAACGGTGTACCCATTTTCTGATGGCTGCTTCCGGCAGGATAACACACCATATCACACGACTCAAATGATCTCAAACAGGCTTTTTGAACATGACAATGAGTTCACTGTATTCAAACTTCCTCCACAGTCACCAGGTGGAACAAGAGATTTGCATCATGGATGTGCAGCAACTGTTTAATAACATCATGTCAATATGGACCAGAAACTCGGAAGAATGTTTCCAGCACCTTTGTTGAATCTATGCCATGCCCCACACAGCATAAAAGGCTTAAAAGGCTTAAGGGTTTCACTTTATCTCAATTTGTCTACCATGTGCAAGAGAAAGCTCTTGATTGTGAAGAAGAGAGGCAGACTCTGCTTTGTAGTAACATATCTTTCTTAAATACTTTAGAAACACAGGCACATATATTCTCAGTGTTATACTAAAGTTGGCAGATATTATAATATTAAGGTATTATGTTGCAAACCTCCTACCATTATATATGATTTTCATATGATTTCTATTTCCTGGCTATTTGGGAGCATTTGGGCAGCTTTTATACAAGTACTTTTATCCGGTTTTCCTTCATCGTACCTTCCATCATTTCCCCTGCGCCTTTTGGATACGTATAGAGGACTTTCCTTGGTGGGATGAGCTCGGAAGCACTGAACCCAGAGCCAGTCACGGAGCTGCCGCTCACTCCTCCCGCAGAAGAGGACGAAGAAGATGCGGCCATTGCCTCGATAAACTTTAAACAACACACACAACAACGACTGTTGTTACTACCAGTTTAATGTGTCAAACACAGATAAAGCAAGGTGGTTCGTGCTCTAGTAATCACAAAGGCTTTTAAACATCCAAACCAACCGGTAGGGGTTAGCTTGGAAGGACTGTTTCACTATTTTTAATGATACAACATTGCTAGCAATAAAGCTAACTATTCTGCTTATACTAATGTTGATGATAACCACCCAGCAGAAATATTAACAAATATAATATGGCATTAAGTCTCCATTTTTATTCAAAAGTACAACTTACCGTCGATGTCACAGCAAATATAACAACTTAAAATCCAGCCAGTTTTTGTTGTTTTTCAGACGTATACCAGTAGTTTACGACAGAGACCGCATTTTACGTTTGTCGCGACAGGGGGTTGCAGCTATCGCAGATTTTACAATCATAGGGATGGCTCGTCTCAGTCGTCTGTCGCTAAAAGGTTGTTCAATCACTTTTGTAGATCTGTTAACACATTTTCCGACACATTTAAAACGTCAATAACCAGGACAGTTCCAACTAGCTAGCTAAATAAGTTTTGAAAGACAGACTTTGTTATTTTATACAATTTTCACTTAGCTGACAAGCTAGTATATTATCTATTAAGTGTTTTTGACGTCACCAAAAGTCACCTCAGTATCGCCTGAACCGTCGTTTCTGTTGTCAGATTTGCACAGGTTTGCTAACACTAGCTAGTTTACCAGTATGGATGTCTTACGTCCTCCTCTTATAAATATAAATGGAAGAATATACCGCAGGAATATAATTAAGGAAGAGCATTATGAGGAAGAGGAAGAGTTTTCTTACATGGGACCACCAGGTAAGTCGAGAACTATCCGCTAACAGGTAAAATACATGTTTGTAAGAAGCTCCAGATAATGCTTTCAGATTTTAGCACAGTTTCTTTTTAAAAATGTGAGTATATTTCTGTGTTTCTAGATGATGAAGAGCTTGGAGAAGATGAAACCTGTGATACCCACTTAATTGAACAAAGTGATAAAGGATATCGCTGTGCCATCGATGTCCCAAGTGTTCTTTACAAGTGTGTCATCAACAGTAGACCCTTGCTTTGGTTGTCCTTAACCTTTCACTTTCTGAATATAATACAAGATTCTGTAAGCAGCATAACGTCTGTCTGTGTTTCTCTGTTTTCTTTGTGTTCTGTAGATACATCATTGGGAAAAAAGGAGAAACGCGTAAACGTCTGGAGTTTGACACAAAGACGTCTATTAACATCCCAAAACAAGGAGTGGAAGGGCAGATTGGTGGGGACTAAGGGCAAATGTCACTTAAAAACTGAACAGAGAGCAAAAGATATTTCCCTTCACTCATTTCCCTCCACTCTCTCATTGTGTAACAGTCATTACAGGTTCCACCAAAACTGCAGTTTCATCTGCTGTCACTCGGGTGGAGGTCCTTGTTGAGAATTTCCGGAGGAAGCAGCCCTTCACACACTTTTTGTCATTCCCTTTAAACGACTCAAAAATTCAAGAGGGATTCCTGAGATTTAAAGATGAGGTTTTGAAGCAATGTTCACAGGTATCTTCTGTAAAAAGGAACCAAAATATAACTGGTGATAGTGAGGGGCAGTTATGGCAATGTATTGCTTAAGGAGAGCATTTTACATCATTAACAAATTCCATGTTCTGTAGGATCATGGAGTAGAGGAAAGCATATTTCAGAACCCTGCAAAGCTCCACTTGACCATCGGCACCTTGGCTCTGTTAAATGAAATGGAAGTGAGAAAAGCATGTGAACATCTCCAAGAGTGTCAAAACTTCATCAGGTAAGGCTCGAACAAGGTTATTGCATTATACAAAGCACTTAATGATTTTGGTGTATGACTACAAAAGAAATTGCACTCTGAAACAGAATGAAATGTTAAACATAAGCGAAAAATAAGTAAATAAAATAAGAGCAGTAAAAAAAAATGTATATGTCAAACAATCACTGACTGAAAAATACTAACATTATAAAATGAAACACAAAATTATAAATTATACAACAATCAGTAAAATAATCCTAATAAAATAATATCACACTAGTTCATAGATTTAAAGAGCCAAAACAATAAAATTGCAAAACAAAGTAATGTTTAACCTTCCTAATGAAAATCCAGGGTAAAGATTAAAGATTTCAACATTTCCAGCTGCTGTTCCATTGCAAAAAAACTAAAAGCTGCCTCCCTTAAAGCTTTTGCTGTGCACTTAGGATCGACTAGCAGAATCCTGCTCGAGAACCTATTTGTTCATATTGGTTCATATTTTCAAAACTTATGTGGTTCTTTAAAAAAGGAGAAAAATCATTTTAAAATCATCTGTAACTGTCAGTCTTATGGGTTGGTAAAAATGTTTTGTTCATTGGTGTATGCTTATACATCAGTTATTAGTTACACCTTTCAAGCATCCTTTTTTGTTTTCAGAGTGGCCTCTGAAAGCAAAAAAGTGGCCTTCTTCATGACGTTGATTCAACAAGGTGTTGACAACATTCCTCTGACATTGTGGTCCAGTTGCTGCAGATTTGTCAGCTGCACATTTATGAGAATCCATCATTCTACCCAAAATGGTGAAATGGTAAATGGCCTGTATTTGTATAGCGCTTTACTAGTCCCTAAGTACGCCAAAGCGCTTTACACATTCAGTCAGCCACCCATTCCCACACTGCTGATGGCAAGGTACATTGTAGCCACAGCCGGCCTGGGGAGCACTGACAGAGGCGAGGCAAAAGAGGCAAAAGAGTTTTATTGAATTGGGTTCTATTGACTTTGGAGGGCAGTGGAATACAGTGAACTCAACTTTGTGAAACCAGTTTGAGATGATCAAGCTTTGTGACATGATTCATTATCCTGCTGGAAACAGTCAGCAGAAGATGGGTACACTGTCTAATAAAGGAATGGACATGGTCAGTAGCAATTCTCAGATTGGTACTAATGGACCCAAAACGTGCCAAGAAAACAGTAGCCAAACCACTACATCATCACCAGCCACTGTATACAAAGCAAATTTGATCCATGCTTTCATTTTATTTACTCTGATTTGAATGTCGCTGGACTCCTCAGACCAGGCAACATTTGTAACATTTTGTTGAGCACATGCGAATTGTGGCCTCAATTTCTCGCTTTTAGCTGACAGGAGTGGCACCCAGTGTGCTCTTCTGCGGTTGTGCATTCAGACATGCTCTCTGCATTGCTTGGTTGTAACTAGTGGTTATTTAAGTTACTGTTTCCTTGCTGTCAGCTTGTAGCAATCTGGCCATTCTCCTCTGACCTCAGGTATTGACAGGAAATCTTTATGTAAATTCAGTGAGTTATGAATGCAGTGTGTGGACTGAATTGTTGCATCGTTGTTAACTTTCTGACCAAGTATCTCCAGCCTTATTTCTGAATAGGAGAACCTGTGTCACTGTATTTTACTACCTTGATTAGCTGTTTACATACCCAGACAGTTTCACTTATTTAAAAAAATACAGTTTGTGTTACACTACAATGGTTTTCTTTGTCTGATTTTTCATTAGAGACATCACTGAAGGAAAACCTCTCCCACTGGAGGTGACAGGCATAGAGTACATGAATGATGACCCAGCAGTGGTGGATGTTTTGTATGCGAAGGTCAATGTTCGAGATGGATCTGACAGGTTAGTACATCAGTGAATAGTTAAATAACAACATTACAAATATCCAACATTTTACTGTTTTAACTTTATTTCTTTAATCTCTGTTCTATTTTAATGGAATCACATTATAGGTTGCAGGTGATTGCAGACAGACTGGTAGAGCATTTTGTCTCTGCAGGGCTGATGGTCCGAGAGTGGGACAGAGTAAAGCTACATGGTACTGTGATGAACACTCTGTTCAGAAAAGACTCCACAGGTAAAGACATAAACACACACATGCCAGCCTAACTCGCACGAAGGCATAGTAGAGAAGTTATTGAACTGCTGGGATCGTATTGATTGCTGCCACCCAGTGGATGTTTGCCAATTTTCCCTCATTATCTTTTGGCTTGGAGTGTAGCTGCAGTGACGACAAAGCAGAGTCTTGACCAATTCTGACAACAAAATTGTGCAGAGAGGAATTGGGGAGGCAGTTCTCTGTTTGGCCACAGTTCTGTTTACGTGCACTGAGCTGCATGTTTTCCAAGTACTCTGACAAAAGCTTCATTCATTTTGGACATGGATCAAGTCCAGGAGCAGTTCTCAAATTTGTACTGGGCTTACCAGGAACACAACACAGAGACTGTGCCACTGCTGACCATGTTTACCGCCTTGTGGATAAGCCCTATTAAAATTCAGTTTTTTTTTCATCTTCGTAGTCCCTATTTCACAAACTAATTTTACTAACTAAATGTCCTTGATTTTGCTCGTACTGTTGTAAAGCCACTGACAGGTTCAAGTAAACATGTTAGTTTATCACTGAGATAACATATCTGTATCTGTGTGTTCTGTGCTTTATTGATCAGCTTGTTCTTTACACTCTCGTGTTTTTACAGTGGAAGATACGGGCGCAGCAGGACGTCAAACCGTCAATGAAAGAGAGGCTTTTGATGCCAAAAACATACTAAAGGTTAGTTGAAATTTACTACTGGATTGAGACACATACTCACTTCTTGACTGCAGTTAATAACAATATGGTAGGCAACAGCACTGGGCGGGATGGAGGTGCAGTGGTTAGTAGTGCCAACGCCACAGTAAGACAGGTGCTAGCTTGAGTCTCCTTGACTCCTGAGGCTTCCTTGTGGCATATGCATGTTCTCCTTGTGCTTTTCTCTGGGGTCTTTGGCTTCCTCCCACAGTAAAAATTGTTTTGGGTGGTCAAAAAGCCTAGATAAGTGCTATATAAAAGCCAGTCCATTCAAAAGAACATTTTACTGTATTGGCACAATATGCATAGTTTCAATTGGGGAAAAAATAAAATACAGTGTTAGAATTTTGTGTATATACTAATTGGGAAAATGTATAAAAACTCTAAAATGCATAAATAAATAAATACAAATGCATCTTAATTGCTATGTTCAGGAGCTTGCAGCAATATTACACTATCCAATTGATGCAACATTGTTTTTGTTTAAAGTATATTGTGTATAGATTTTCCAGCTGTGGTTGACTTGTCCATAGCTCGTCCCATGTGATCTTGTCAGTTAATTGCTTCTTTGCTCTTTTAGTGAAAAAAACATGAAAATTGAGAGTATTGTATTGATTTTTGGTTCTGATTTACATTTATCTTCTTTAGGGAAAAGGTGTTTTCATTTCACCTGGGACAAATCAATTATGTTCTCACATTAGTTGTGATACGAGCTATGTAATTTAACGTTAAACCACCTGACCTGCTTCACAGCAGTCCAGGCTCAAATCGTGTTTAGTTATGACTTCATGTCCAGTTGGGAAACACTGATGCGCTCTTGTTTTGCCACCTTGAAACTGAACCAGTAATAACAATTACCTCATGTGCTTCTCCTAGTGTGATATGCCAAAATTGGTTCCCCCCACCTATTTTTTTTGTGTCACAGCTGTAGACCTTTTATATTAAAAGAGGAGTGAGCCTCAGGTCTGAAAAGTGAAGCCAACCTCGACTAGCTTGTAATTTTTAAAGGGGATTTGAGCAGTAGTTATTCAGGGTTTCTGATTGTCCTTCAAAGTTTTTTTTGGACATTGGCTATATAGGAATTTTGTTAAGCTACTTAATACTGACCTATGATTCAATCATAAAAGAGGTTCAAGGAATGAACAAGTGCTGCCTACACATAACAACCAATATTCAATTGTGTCTTTAGGCACTTTGTTAGAAATTGCTTCTCGTAAAAACACATTATTTGTTCCAATTTCTTTAATTCAGTCTATGAAAAATTCTAAAAATAACAGTTTGACAGGCATAAAATAATATTTTGTACCAGCAAGGTGGTTCCCAGTTAGGTACTAGCCAAAAACCTAGCATATCTCTGCCTGGTAAGCAGTGTGTCCTTAAAGAATCTTAAGAAAACTGGACAAAGTGAACAAAATAAGACGTGACAGGCCTAAAAAAGTGTCTGCAGCAGACACTGAACACTACATGAAAGTGACACTTTTAAAAAAAACAACTTGCCAAAATTCTAAAGTTGAGGCTTCAAAGCGAGCCCACAAATTAATGGGTGTTTCTGTGTCCATCATTTATATACAGTCTGTGCTGACTGACTACTGAAAACCTGCTATTTTGGCAGAAATATTAGGGAACACTACTTAAGAATGTACTTTATTAGCAGTTGTTATTTTTGGTTAAAAAATAAATAAATAAATAAAAATAACGCACCAGTACAGCTCAAAGACTCTTGGTTGTTTGTGTTGTTTAAAAAAAAAAACACTTGTCAGAGTCAGGTTGCAAAAATCTTCCTGGTGGAGTTTTGACAACTGAAATGCGACACTGGAGATGAAAAGCTCTGACATTCACCTTCCCCTCCTCTACAGAGAAGGTCTTTGTTTGAATAACAACATTGTTGCTGCTGTTTTTTTTTTCCTCTGGAAGTGACACAAAGGTAGCAGGCAAACACTCAGCCACCTATAAATATGATAATACGACAGCTTACCTTGTTTTTACAATAGAATTTGACAAGCAGTTTTTAACTTTCTAACACAGTGCTGACTGTTTGATGTCAACACAAGTTGTCCTGCTTTGTTGTTTCACACGGTTGTCTGAAATAGTCTTGACTGTATGTATGTAAGTATGGATGGATGGATGGATGGATGGATGGATGGATTGATTGTTACAAGTTTATGAATTTAATGTGTTTTCATTACAGAAATTTGATGCTTATTGTTTTGGAGAGTTTGAGCTGAATACTGTCCAGCTGTCCCAGAGATATTCAACAGACTGCACTGGATACTACAGCTCTGCAGGGAGCATCAGCTTGTCTTGAGCTCATGCAAGAGTGAGCATATACTGAGGTGGGAAAATTAATAAGGTTTATAGCTTTGAGAGCACTGCAGCATTCGTGATAGTTCTGTCCAGTAGGTGGCAGCATAGATTGAGTCATTTGGCTGTTAACAGAGAGGTGGAGATTGGGTCATGGTTATCCCTTTAATAGAGAAGAATAAAAAATATTAGATGTACTTTGTAAACCACAGTGCCCAAATGAAACATAGAAATCTAGTTAAATGGAATTTTCAGATACTTGTTTTTATTTAGTTTTTAGTTTTATTCCACATTTTTTTGGCCTGGTATATTTATCTGACAAGTATTTGAAGATAAGATTATACATTAAAACATTTGCTCTTTCATGTATTCCTAAGGACTAAAAAGCTCATAAAATGTATACAATTTTAATAACTTTTATATTTATATCAAATGAAACAGAAAGTTACAGGAAGAAGACACTCTTATAATCCTGATCATTGTAAAAATGAATAGTTTATGAAAATTAATAGGCAATTTGCAGTTACTTCAGCTATTTCTGTAATGGCCAAAGTAGCTACAACAGTAGCTGGCTGCTGTCAGCAGGATAGTGCATAGTTTATACTGCTGTAGTGAATCTACATAGAGCCAGTGACGTACCCTATGGAAGTGGCCAGTGCTGTTGCCAACATTTCTATCTGTATTGGCTTTGTCGACGGGGATGTGTAGTTATATCCCTAGGGAGGTGCATATCAGGTTACAGTGTAGGGTTAGAGAAGGGTTTGTTGTTACAAAATACCTATGGTGTTGATTTTACACAGAAATATAAATACCAAATTGTGCCATGCCACAAAGCTCAAAACATCTTAGTGGTTTCTTAAACATGACAGTGAGTTCACTGTTTTCACACAGTGACCACAGTCACCAGATCTCAGTCCAATAGAGGACCTCTAGGATGTGATGGAAAGGAAGATTGGCATCAAGTATATGCAGTCTGTATCACCTGCCTGATGCTGTCAAGTCAATGTGGACCATAATCTTTGGGGAATGTTTCCAGCAGCACAGTAACAATTTCATCTAAATATTTGGCTTAAACCATTTACAATCTTTGCATCTTGTTCATGTTTACACTTTACACAGCATCCCAATAGATTCAAATGCAGATCTTCTGCCAAACTGGCTTCTATAGCTGTCCAAACACTGGTTGAATTTCATGCTGCTCTAATCTCTTGCTTGCAGTACTCTAGGTCATAGCCATGATTTACACCTTTCCTTTCATCCTTTCAACGCACTGCCTCATGAAAGTATGAATGCATCACCGATATGATCTTTCAGACCTTTTTTTCTCCTCCAGCTTTTTTTTTTCCATCATTTTTCTTTAAATCTTTGCCTTTCCCACATGAACCTTGTCTTCACTCCCGACTGTCAACAGTGTCAGTGAATACAGACACTTGCTTTTGCCGTCACAGCTTTTTTTTTTATTTTCGCTTTCCCCTCAGCTGGCAATGCTCTCTGTTTGGAATGCAGGAGGGTGATTGCCAGGCAGCCAAAAGTTACACTGATAAAAACAAAGGGGTCTTTTTGTTTGTCAGCTTTGCAACCCTGTCCTATCCACCCTCCCATCCCAGCAGTGGCATGATTTTCTTTTCTTCTCTTTTTTCTTGAAGCTGCTTGCACAGATTCCCATGCAGATTTTGTTATTGGATATAGACTAGCCAGCTGAGCTGCCCATACCCTAACTATTTCATTGTCTTGGAGTGGAATCTTTTCCGACCTAGGACCTGGGACCTAATTAATCATGCCCAGAGCTCTTGACAGCATGCTTTTTAGTGGGTCAGGATTGCATCCAACGTAAAAGCACTCCAGCTAATAACAGAATTCTGACACTTGCCAATACTATTGCTCCTAAGCACAAAAAGAAAGCATCACAAGGCAATTGAAATTTGATTGAATTCATTGAGACTATGCCTCTGTTTTTCTTTTGGCAGGGACATGATTGAGGATGTTTTGCACAGATGTCCGCATTAATGATTGTACTGAAAACACATGAGGAAACATACGTCATCCGTAGACACGGACTCTGAAGACAGATACAATTTGTCCTGAGACTTAATATAACGCATTCAGACTGACTGTTTATTTAAATGGCCATATGTCTTCTTAGCTGTATAGATCGGGAGCATATTGGATTATGGCTGCAATGAAGGAATGATTTCTCACTATCAGACATTCATATTGTCTTGATAAATTGGTTAATTATCTATGAAATGTCAGGAAATTTGGAAACATGGGTAACATTTAGGATGCCAGATTTAACATTGATAAGTTGGAAGCAAACATTTAGTAAATGGTTTTTGAAACTGTAATTTAGTTTTAATTAAGTTAAAAGCTTCGTGTTTAATATTTAATAACTTTTCAGTCTGTTTTCAGCTATAAATGTGTCCAAGTAAGAATTTGCTCACAAAAAGATTGATAGATTTGCTACATTGTATAGATCATTTAGCAAATGTTCTTTATGTCTGTTATTTGTATAGAAAGGACATAATATAAAAAGTTGCTGAAAAAATTATTACTACAGTCTGTCTTTAAATCACTTGATTTCTGTAAGGTTAAAGTCCCAAAAAGGCCTAGAAGACCGGTCAGTAAATCCCCTGCAACCGTCACTCTCTAGGGAAAAATGTATATCGACCAAGTCAAGGTTGGAGACAGTTGCTCGTTAAAACTGGTTGCAAGCAGTGAAAACTGTGACCAATTTCACCTTGTGTCTGCCAACAACCTCCAGGAAGCACTTGCCACCAGCCAAAGAATATACATTTTACCCTAACCACCAGTGCTTGCCAGATGTTTGCCAATAGGTCTCTAGGACTGTGTGACAAGGGCCTAATGCTCCAATCAAACTAGGAAAAACAGTAGTTGAAGATTGTGGCATGATCGTGACTACTCAGCCTGCGATGGTGACCAAATCTCCAACCACTCGCAGTCAGTTGTTCTCTTCAAAGAACCTTTGGTACATTAGGTTGGCGATAAAACGGCAATAACACAAAATCAGTCTGCTAAGAGTTTCTAATCTGTTGCAATTTTTTGCAAAGCTGTTGTCTACACACAGAGACAAACATATTAAACAGAAATATCTGAAACAATTGTTTCTTGACTGGACACAGTTACACATTTTTCAAAAACAGCCTTTATTGTACTGCTAACATTCCTAGTAATGCCCCATAAGGTCCTAGTCAGAAAAAAAACTTTATTTTGGCTATGAAACCACATGTCATATTTCCTACACCATGACACCCTGTTGTCACAACGTAAGCAATTTTACGTTTCATCTGAGTGGTCAGAATGTCACGGCTTATCTGTAAACATAGTTAAATGTGGCTTTGCATGTCCGTGTGGGTGAGCTTGCTTACGCACTGCCCGACATACATAGTTTTTTCTGTCTCTGCCACATCCCTCTACCTAATTAGTCATCTCTGCAGTCCCTGCAGTGAGAACATCCAACTAGACCCTTAAGATTTCAAAACTAGCATGAGCCAATTTAAATAAGACTGATAAATGAGACCCCTGCGTGTGTTGGTGTTACCAGCGACCTCTTTCCCTTTGTGGATCTGCGTCTCTATTTCTAACGATCTAAAGAGACAGAGGAGATGGGATTTTAATTAAACTGTTACACATTTCAGCTGTTTATGCAGGCATGTGTGCATGTGCTTGTTTACATGCACTGATAAGCATTTAGAAGGGCGGTAAACGACACCCACTGAAAATGCGCCTTTGCAGTATAAAACAAGCTGATAAAACCTTATTTTCCAGCCAATTTGTTTTTGTGATTTTTAAAAGGATTGAAAGCAAAAGCAATCATTTCGTTGCGCCTGCAACACTTTTAGAACTTGCACTGAACTGTTCAGTAATAAGAAATTCATATCACATTTGGTAACTGAAGTCTTGTTATCTTGACCAAGTATTGTACCCCCCGCTCCCCCAACCCGATTTGCATAGTTAATTTCATGGCAATGTTCAAAGTAGCCTTTTTAAATGCAAAAGCCAGTTTTTAAATGGGTTTTACTTGATCACTGTCAGTTTTGTTTTGTTTTTTGTTCTTTTCTTTTTAGTACATTTCGGATTTTGATATTCAGAGCCACACTTTGGAATTTTTCATAGGGTAATTAGAAATTAAGCTTTCTTTCCATATGGAAAGCGTTAACGTCTGCTGGGGGGAAAAATAGATTTTGGCTGACAGACATGACCTTTAATACAGTAGATATGTTTGATTTGCATGCTTGGAGTAACTAATGACATGCATCAAATCAATTAAGTGCCTAATTACTTTTTAAGGTCACAGTAAGGTTTGCTCAGTGTACACTCAGACTGATACAAATAATATTTTAAATCAAATATGACATATCGAAAGGTAGTTTGGGCCTTTTTGTGCCGTGTATTCCTCTAACACACTTGAATCCAGTTGTATGAACTTATTCACTTGTGTTCACGGGAAGTAGAAAGGTGCTCTATAAACAATTCTGCTAGACAAAACTGAAATTTTGAAACTGGATATCATTAAGGGTGAAATATGACGGCGTGCCCTTTTTAAACTCTCTTATGTTTGACTCTCCAGTCGTGTGTCACCACCGACTGAATTTCACACTGATCACTCTGTCACTAATAGACGTAAACGGGGCCTTGATGGAGAGCCAAGGCTAGAGTATTTGAAATGTCTAATATGTGTCTCTAGCAAAAAGGCAGGTGATCCCTGCACCAGCTCTTTATCATTCAGAGTGCTGAGTCTGGAGGCTGCCTGCAGCTGTCCACGTCTGTTTACTGCTGGAGGCATTCACAGAGGGAGGGAAGGCAAAAAGCCTAAAGTGTTTGAACAGTAAGAAGTCATTCAGAGCTACTGTTTACTTTATGTACACTTAGCACTACAAGATTTTAAAATGGGGATTATCATCACCAGTTACATTCTGTTACTTAAAAAAAAAATTATACTTTAAGCTATGAAATGTCAGGAATTGTTGAACATGTTGCATATAAGGACCCAAGTTGCCTCTCAAAATCTAGATATGTTCCATTTACAGTAATATGAAAGAGAACAGTCATTAAATCCTCACATTTAAGAAGCAGTAGCTAGTGAACGTTTTGACATTTTTGTGTAGTAAATGATAAATGATAAAAACGTTTGGCAAAGGACTAAATCTACCAGATGTTTGACAGATGTGTATACACAATCAGCAGACACGGTGGAGATGACCTGCTGAAGTTCAAACTGAGCATCAGAATGGGGAAGAAAGGTGATTTTAAGTTACTTTTCAGAAACTGCTGATCTGCTAGGATTCTTCTACACAAGCATCAGTAGTGTTTACAAAGGATAGTTTGAAAAAAAGATAAAGTATCTAGCAAGCAGCGGCTCTCAAAAATATCTTGTTGATGCCAGAGGTCAGAGGAGAATGAACTTACTGCTTCAAGCGATAGGAAGGCAACAGTAACTCAAATAACACTTGTTACAACCAAGCTATAAAGATGAATATCTCAGAATACACAACACCCCAAGCCTTGAAGCAGGTGGGCTACACCAACAGAAGACCATACCGGGTGTCACTCCTGTCACTTAAAAACAGGAAACGGAGGCT